CATGAAAATTGGTCTGTGGCGTCACCGAAACCCATGAAAGCCATCCTCCCACATGGCCCATCCTCTCATGACGCGCCAGGGAGCCGATCCCTCATACCTGGCCGACCGGTCTAATCCTCACTTGACCAGCTCTCTCATTGTTTTTCCATTGTCTCTTTTCTTTTCCATACCAACAGGAGGCCACCCTGTCATTTTCCATATCATCTATATCATAATATCAGGTGCACACAGGGGCGCCAATCTCCCCGTATCTGGCCGACGGTCAAATCCCATATTTTCATAATTTCCAGGACTGTCCTAACAAACCCATGGTGACCCATTTCATTCCAGTTCCACCCAAACAAAGCATAACTATGACACAATACAAACAATCAAATATTGTAATTAAATGCAAGCATATCAAGTAATTTAATATCATAATGCAAGTATATCGAACAATCAAATATCATATGCAGGTGCGCAATTAGACATTCATATTCAATTACAATTAAATAAAGGAGTAATAATTAACAATATATTACCATAATTGATTCTTGGAGAATAAATAAATAATTAAACAAATAAATAAACAAACAAATAAATAAATAATAAATAAAGAACTTTATTCTAAATATATTAAGTTAAAGAATTAATCTAAATAAACCTATTAATTTAATTATTAATTATGTCTAGCCTAGATTCTAGCAAAATTCCAGTAGTATCTCCCCTAAAATTTGACTAAACCACAATTCTCAAAACCCATCCATTGGGCGATCCACATCAACTCATCCCATCCGCCATAACCCCCATCCGCCATAACCATATTCATCCATCACACACACACATATATACACTTAATAATTCCAAACCAATTAATTAACAATTTATATTAACCTCCAAGCATGTTCCAATGATATTATTAATTGTTCTATAACTAATCACCAAATACCTAAACAATTTATAAATATAACTTGTTTCGCCAATTTAAATACAGGTACTCTCATTTGATAGTTTTTAGACCTCTAATTATTAAGAAACTTCTTCATTTTTGCTTAAAAATTCTATACTTGCCACGAGGAACCAATACTAATTTAAATTACAATCTAATGTATACACCTAGTAAATAATTCAACTCGCCCTTAAATATATAACAATTCCAATGATTAGTTTATCTAAATGTTCTCAATTATTCGAAATAGTTATTGTTCGTCAAAAAAAAAAAGGTTCTTCTCAACCTAGCTCGTATATAATGTAAACATTAATTCATTCCAATTCATATAGTTCATAATCATTTTCAGATTTGAATCAGAATTGCCTACTTCATTTCGGGTTAATCAATTACGCTCAATTTACGGACTCTCCAAACATATAAACCCAAGAATTAAACTTAATTCACAAATAATTAATCAATCCGGGCAAATTTCAAATTGTAAACATAAAATAAGCACCGACCTATATTCGCAAAATCCGACTAGACTGCTGCGTTTGCTGCATCAAGGAGACCGTTCTGCCTCTTGGAGCCTTGCCGGCCCGTCACCGGTACGCCGCCGTGTACGGTGGCCGGAAAAATCGTGGTGGCTTGAAACTGAGCGCTCTTCACACCATCTGACTCGGTTTTCTGACTCGGTTTGCTGTTAGCCCGTTTCTCGCGTTAGTTGCGCGAGATTGGTCCTCCATCTGGCCGGAACAGGCTCGGTTGTTGCTGCGCCGACCGGAACAAACAGAGGGAGGAGGAGAGGAGTTACGCCATCGCGGAAGTGGTGGAGCCGCCGACTGCGCCGGCATCGACGGAAAACCAGTGGAGGCGCTGATGTGCCATTCGCCAACGAAGGACCGAGGCTCGCCTCGCTGCTGCGTTCTCCAGAAGCGAGAATTGAAAGAGAAGAGGCACTGCAGGACGATGGTGGCGCGATGGAGGAGGTTCGGTCAGCTCAGGTGGCCAGAAACGAAAGAGGAAAGAGAGGCACGGCGCTGGTGGTGGTGGCGCGCGCTCTGGCGCTCGCGAAGAAGAAGACAAGAAGAGGAGAAGAGAAAAAAAGAAAGGTTCTTTTGGGCCATTCCGATTCGATTCAAATCGGTTTGGCTCAATTCAATGATTTGGTCCGATTTTACTTTCTTTTCAAAAAATGAAAACTTATTTATTGGTTCAATTTATAATAATAAAAAAATATTTTTCTGTTATTTTCATTGTTTAGGTCTTACGATTATATTTTTAAATGAAAAATTTCAAAAAAGATTTTTCAAGTCGTTTCAATAATATCTAGGAGATAATATTAAAATATCTTATATTCTTTAAGAAACGGTAAACTAAAGAAAGAAAAGTAACTGTATCTTCATAAGAGGGATAAATAAATTTTTTAAACACAAAAAATACTATACTCTTTTTTCTTCGTTAAGATTTCTTTTCCAATAAATTTTTTTCTAGTAAAATTTTAAGAAGGTATAATCTCTATATAATACACATCGAATGGGGAGTATTATAAAACTATATAATGTAATGAATGATAAATTTATTAAATAAATTATTTATTTTTCTAAAAATTATATCTTTTATAATAAAATATTAAAAATATGATATAAAATTATATTGTTTGAGGTTACGAATTTTTGGAATATGTAAGTGAGATTTTAATACAATAAATAAATCTTATTCGTTTTCAAAAAAAAAAAAAAAAAAAAATATTCGTTTTCAAAAAAAAAAAAAAAAAAATCTTAAATTCCTGCTCTATATATTGAACAAAAATCTCTCTTCTATAGAACAAGTAGGAGGCAAAAAAATGCTTTCATTTCAATTTTTTTTTTATCTTAATCACCTTACCATTATTTCATTCCTCTTCCTAAAAAAAAAAAAAAAAAAAAAAAAATCTTATTCCTGCTCTATATATTGAACAAAATCTCTCTCTATAGAACAAGTAGAGGCAAAAATGCCTTTCTTCAATTTTTTTTTCTCTTATCACCTTACATATTTCATTCCTCTTCCTAAAGTGCACCACATCCTATGTGGCAACCCACTCATGCTCAAAACAAAATGATATAGCATATATTTTGTTTCCATTATTCGATGTGGGAGATTTCTCTCCTGGATGCTTGTTGACTCCTTTCTCACATCATAAAATCCTAATCTGGAGTATTAACTGTTTACTCCAAATATCTATATGATACTCCTCCTTGGTTACTCATCTTAGTTTTATTGCCGTTCCTCTCTCTCTCTCTCTCTCTCTCTCTCTTTAGATTTTACACAAAAATAACATACAAATTGTGACTTGTGTATATAACATTAACTTGTGTGTTGTATAAATTGTACAAGGACAAACCTTTCCTTAAGGTTTATATTGCACTTTTCTTAAATCAACTTCTTGTTGAAGCCATCTAACTGCTCACATTTGACATGGTCCATACAAGATTAATCTTTCAACTGCTATTGCTTGGCCGTCTTTCTCACGCAGCAAATCAGCCTCGGTTGAGAATAAGCTCTGCTCTAAATCGCGCAAGGCATCCACAGGTAACGTTGACATCCAAATTGATAGCATACATCTTCCGAGTCTGAGTCGCTGGAATTGGTTCATCAACACCTTCAACAATAGAAAGAGAAAGCTAAAGGATTCTCTAATACTATCATTGTTAAAGCCAATATGAAAGACTTGCTTTGAACCAAGATATCTGCGGAAACAAATGAAACTCCAATGATCAGTTTAGTATAGCAAACTTATAAATCCATACATTTAAATATATGAATGCAAACATAACAAAATATCATTTCCAGAATTTGGAGGCTTAAAGTTCAATCAACCATTTATAGTGTACCTATCAGGTCACCCACAGGTTTATGGATTCTCAACTTCTTGGTTACACAGCTTGATCTTGTGCCAGATCCAAAATGATTTATCTTCAAATGATCAAATTGAAAAACAACTGGTTGCCTCTTTTTTACCATTCAATTACTAAATAATACTGATTGTGAGACCTAATTCTAATATTGTATTGGATATATTTAAACCAATCAATTCATTTGCATTAAGCGATTATCCATTCTATCAAATTTTGGAGCAACACAAAAACTGCTTACCCAAATCCTCCAGATAGAAAATTTCCTAACAATGACAGCACTAATTTGAAATAATCAGCATTCATGCAATACCTTAATGTTGACAATTATGAATAACTTTACGGCTTGTTTGGTTCACCTTAGAATTGGAATGGGAATGGAAATGGATGTATAACTTCAAACATCCTATTCCAAATTCACTTTTTAAATAACTAATAAGTTATTCAAACATAAGAATTCCTTAAAAAATTGGATTCTTTGGTGAATCAAACAGAAAAATGGAATTCTATTCCAAGAATTGTATTCCATTCCCAATATCGAGTGAACCAAACATGGCATTGAGCTGAAAAAAACATAGTTAAAAACTATAAAGTAAAATTCCAAGTTAGAAAAGTAACCTCACCGGAGAAAGAATATGGTGAGGCTGCAATCACCATCAGGTTTGCCCTTGCATTACCAAGCATAAGTGAAGCCCGTCCTTTGTCAAGCAGATGCCTCCTGAAGGTCTCAATTCTATCATCCTCACTTAAAAAGAAAGAATACGTAACAAAACAATACCATCTTAGGCATTTATTATTTTTGAAGGATGGTCTAGTTTTCTGCTAGTGATAATTAAAATGACCATGGAAAACCACGATATCTGGTCACCTGATAATTCTAGTGTAGAGAGATAAATACATCATATACTTTTGAATCCCTGACAATTCGATGCAAAAGTAATTTGGTTGAGGTTGTGACAGGTTTTCTTTAATCAAGCAATCCTCTGAGCAGATAAGTTAAGCCCTCCCTGGAATTATTCTCAGGATAACACATATTGATTCTTCATAACTTCAGTTGCAAGTTCTTCAAACTAGGATGAAAACATAAACGTTATGGAGAATAAACAGCATATCACAATTATGGAGGATTAAAAAAAATGATACCAGATCAAGTTATAAGTATGATAAAGCAACAATTAACAGGATAAAAAAAAACGTCATTCCAAAATCGATGTTGCTTTATTGCATTGATAAATCAGTACATTAGAGGCATGGGAAGAAAAGGAAAATCTTCTTAATTGAAGAATGGCGTGAATTTCTTAAAATAGTGAGCTCTAACCTGTATCTAATTTTACATTTTACTGTATAAACATGTATCCTTTCAATAATCATCATTTATGGCATTTGAAGGCAACCTTGCATCTGATCTAAAATTTCCACAGTTTCTACAACTTATTCCCTTTGGCTTGACTATAATGCTTTGTAACAAGTGGAGAGCAAAACTGGAGTAAACCATTAGTTCAAAAAACTGATCATCAGATAGCCTGGTATCCCATTGCAGCAACTGTGGAATTCCTACCAATTGATACGAAGATATTTATCACTCTTCAGAAGCACGCAGTGAAATTTTCTCAAGTAATATAATCCAATCTTCTCCAAGTATTTGGGGATTCACCTCCATTGCAACATGAAAATCCAACATGGATGCATACACAGATTCTGTCCGTCTCTGCATGTATCTCCCAGGTAACCTCCCATCCAAGCCAGGTAATAACTGGCCATTAACCATTTTCAAGTGACCATTTCCACACCTTGAGCTAGCTAAGCCCATACACGGCTCAATCAACCTCTTCAAATACGTGTCCAACCCATTGTTCAACAAATTAACACAATCCATTGAAACATTAATCCCTTCCATCCCCAACTTCTGCTCCAAGCGGCTTCTTAATGATCTTGTATCAGGCAGCTCACCGCTGTTCACACAGGTCTCCTGATGGTGGCTACCACAGACAGTAAAACTTGAAAGAGCTTTACGAGCTCCACCTAAATTCATGGAAACACCAAGAGGAGCAGTAACTGGGCTTCTACTTTGAACACCTGGGCTCCCCGCCACCTGCTCAACCTCTTCCCCCTCTTCAACAGAAGCAACTTCAGCTGGAGGTCTGCTGCCAAGTGAATGCAATTCCGTAGCACTTTGCTGTTCTTGTGCCCTTGAACTCAATTCCTCACAAACCAAACTTTGGGGCTTCCCAAGTGGTCCCAAAGGACTTGGGCGGTCCCTAAACTTGCGATATCGATTAACGGGAGACCTTCCCTTCCTAGGAGAAGGAGGAAAGGCATCCCCATAAAGTGACTGAAGACAATTTTTATGATACCCATTTGCAGTTTTAACATTAAGACTACTTGCTTGTCTTTTAATTGCTTTCTGCGGGGGAACTTTAGAAAGGCAAGCATTCTTGACAATTGATCTAATAAGGTGGTTGTGAAGAGGGATATTCTCCCTACCAATAATCCTAACACAAAACTTATCAAATTCAGACTTGGTAATCTTAAAACTAAACAATCTTGTCAGTTGATCAAAGTACTTTTCTGCTCTTTCATGCCCAATCTTTTTAACTATCAAAGCTTTGAGTTCTAAAGTGTTGATTCGAGTATAACTTTGATTAGGCGACATAGTTTTATACCTCCCAAAAGTTACTTAAATTTGCCAAATCTGAATCCTCGTCAAAATTTGAACTTTCAAGCAAAACCCAGATCATATAAACACTCCTCCTAATTCCAAAACCTGAAACCCTGGTTCCCAAAGCACTGTTCCCATCTGCACAGAAATAAGTAAACATATCAAGATTTACAAAAGCACATATTTCTCTAATGCCATTGCAAAATTAACGAATACAATATTACAAATTTAGCTCAAAACCATTACTTGCAACAAATACGAGTATAATCACATAATAAAATACTAAATGGAACAGGAAAAGAAAAAAAATTAAAAATAAATATAAAACCCGTAAAAAATGCATCAACAGAAGTAACAGAAACTGAAATCGATATACTTAAGAAGATTGAAACAACACTTAAGAAAATAATTAAAACCCAATTGAGATATCGATGAAAATCGAAAACCCAAAAATTGAATTAAGAATTGGAGCAAAATGAGACACGTACCAAAGTGGGAATAGGGTTTCTTGTTGTGTGCAAATTTCTGCTACCATGAACAGGTTTTTTCTGGTGATCGATGCTTTGTCTGGTTTGTTTGCTTGGTTTTGGTTTGTATTATTCAGGTGTGTAGAGGAACAGACACCAAAATGTAAGGGCTCATGGGCTTTTTGGGTTGCTTTTTTTTTTTTTTTTTTTTTTTTTTTGTGTGTAGAGGAACAGACACCAAAATGTAAGGGCTTCATGGGCTTTTTGGGTTGCTTTTTTTTTTTTTTTTTTTTTTTTTTTTTTTTTGTCTTCCCTAGTACACAACAACATACATGTACTTTTAAGGCCCTTTTTTTTTTTTTTTTTTTTTTTTTTTGTCTTCTAGTACACAACAACATACATGTACTTTTAAGGCCCTGTTTCTTTTGTGTCTCATTGACGGTTTTTGTTTGTTTTTCGCATAACAAATGAGTGGAAAAAAAAAAAAAAAACCTACTCTTAAGTTGTTGGCTCATAACACTTTTTTTGTCCAATAATTTCCAAATTAGATATTTTCACCGTTATTATCTCAAAAAAAAAAAGAAAAAAAAAATCAGCGTTATTATCCGCATAAATTTTCAAATTTTAAGTCTTCGTTCATTGATAATGAAAATTAATATACGGCAATTAATGTATTTTTAACATAATTTTTACACTAAAAATGCCTATATTATATTGTATTCAATGACGACTCACTAAATGAAATTTGACTATTTTATAATATACTGATAATCTTACTAATGAAATGTATTTTAAATTTTACAATTTTAAGAAATGAAATGTTGTTAACCTTCGATTTTAGGAATCCAAATATTAATAAAAGAATTTTGAACTACTTTTCAGAATCAAATGTGTTAAAAGTTCTACAGGTTTGATGGGGCTCACCATCTCAGCAATCTTAAGGTCTGATAGACATGAACATCTTTAAAGGTATGAACTTTCACTTTATTATGAACATCATTGAATGATGCTACATATATGATTAAATAAAGATAACATCTACACATTTCTAATGCCATTCTGTAAATCTTGAAATACAATTTGTGAGTACTAACTTTTTCGAAGATCACAGTCACTATGTCTTATTCTAACTTTCCCTCCACCAGAATTTCATAACCTTCTTGGTCTGTTCCTGTAGTGGATAAATCTGAAAGAAGCATAACTTCAGCCTCATGTGCATCTTCTTGATTCATTTGTGGCATAACTGAGTTGTCTGGCGCGCTAGTAGTAGAAGGCCCTGCAGGCTGTTCTTTAACAAATTTGGTCCATTTCTTGTTCTTCGCATGAACCAAAGTTGGGTATAAAATGAACCCAACAACAACAGCAGCACCACTTACTAAGAATGTCCTAAGAGAAGCCAAGCACATAACAAGAAGAAGCAATATTGCAGGAGGTATGCAAAGCATTGTTGCACCACATGTTTCCAATGGGACTTTATAAGGTCTATGAAGTTCAGGTTTTGTAATTCTCAGTTTTATAAAAGCTGCAAACTCAAGAAGCATTCCGATGGCATATAAGAAGTTTATAAATTCCAGGATTTCTTGGAAACTCATCCACGACAATAAGATTACTCCAGTGGCAGAAAACAGTATGCTAATCGTGGGTGTCCCATATTTTGACCTGCAAAAATGAATTAAAGGAAATGTAATTGTTTCTCCTTTCAAATAAATTTTACTCTAGTTTTTGGACTTGAGAATCACAAAAACACAAGAAGAAAGTACTGTGTTTGATTTCTGTTTTGTCAGAGCTTTTTTTGGTATAAATGAATTTTATAAAATTTCATGGAATTCATTTGTAAATCCGTACATTTTATATTTGGTTCAAGTGAAAATCATTTGAAAATTTATTTCATTAAGTCTATGAAACTGCTTCTGCTTGAACCAAATGTTATCATATTGGATAGAATCAGTAAATTAATTTAAATTAGTGAGACTGAAAGTTTGACTTCATTATTACAAAAGAATTTTATACTTGATTGTTAGGAATTTAGGATACTGAGCAGGAGAATTCTTTAATAAATTCATTTGCAAAGGAATGGATGTCTCATTTATATTTGATCCACACACTATGCAAGTTCAGTTTGGTTAACTTGCGTCTCTTGCTTTTGCTACAATAGCAAAAGGGAAATTAACCAAATGAAGCCTAAGTTTTCAGTTTAAGCTAGTAATCTTTCAAGCTCAATTTGTTCATAAAACCAAACTTAAAGAACACTAATGGTATGCTTATTGGCCATATGACAACACATGCAATTAAAATATTGAAAAATGTAACTTAGGATCTTAAACACCATAATGACCATTTCCTCAAGTAAACATGTCATGTGCGCCTAATTTGCTTGAATTGCTTTAAACTGCATCGATCTTCGATCAAGAATTAAAACAACAATTAGTAGAAGCGAGGAAAGAACCAAAAGCAGGAAAAGACTGACCTTGAAGCAAAAATAGCAGGGAGCATTCCCATTTCACTCATGCCAAGAAGCTGAAAGGCATCACCACTCATCTCTGCTTCAAACAATCCCAAATTAGACATAGCAGAAGCTGCTTGGATCCACCATTTAAGCCAAGCCCCTCCAATCAACATTCCAACTTCTGCAAAGTATCCATCAGTCCACTCACTTGATGGGGTCTTCAGTGCCCCAGTGCCCGCAAGGAGTGGAATCAAATACGAGGAGACCACCAACAATACAGCCCCAAAGAGCGCCTTTGGGAATGTCTTACTAGGATTTTCAACCTCCCCTGCAAGAGTACTTGCTTTGTCCCAATAATTCAAATTCCAAAACAAGCTATTGAAGTATCCCCTCCATTCTACTTTCTTAAAATCCACAGCTAACCATTGTTTAGGCTTAATTCGAGGAATCGAAATGATACCGATTACAAGAAATGGGCATAGAGAAAAAACAGCAAGCAAAACAGCTGAAAATCCAACAATGTGTAGTCCTCTATAGTTCAAATATGTCAAACCAACTGTAATTCCTAATAGAGCTGGAATTCTTGCAATTAATTGGTTAAAAATGGGAAACGAATGTTTCAAGTAATCAAGAAACAACACGGGGTAAAGGGCATTATCCATTACTCCACTAAACCATTTCCAAAACCCTTCTTGGAAACCCCAAAAGGGACCAAAAGCTGAAGATATCCAAATAACATACCCACCATTTTCAGGGAAACTTGTGGCTAGCTCTGCTGTTATTAGAGCTTCTGGAATACTCCAAATTAAAGGGAATATCAAGAAACCGAGCAAAGACAACAAAGGTCCACCTCCAGCTTTCACTGAATCCTCTACGCCAAAAGGACCCCCAGATACATCATAGAATATTAAGGCAATAAGAGGCAAAAGGGTAAGTTTTCGACTTGTTTTAGTTGTATTTTTTACATCTGCAGGTATTCCCTCTTCACCCATCCACAACATGACATGAAAGAGAGAAAGATTCGATCTTTTAACCCCACAAAGCACTTCAAAATTTAAACAGGGAACTGGGCTTTGCCTAAATCAGCTCTCTGTGATTATCAAGTAAGTTTTTGCATATCAATCATCAACAGCTTAGGAACTAGTTTGAAGAAATTACCTGTTTATTTTAGGAGGCTTACAGAAGGTATAAGACTCTGCTTGTAATCATAAAAGTCGACAAAAGAAAATATAAGACTCTGACGATAGAAGATGATCTGGTGGTTAACGGTGGTTCCAGCGTTCTCTTCCTTCCTGCCATGGGAGATTGAACATGGCAGTTGGCAGGAGCGGAATTTTTTGAAGTGCTGAATATTGAACCCCACCTTCTTCTTTGAGAGAGTGTCCATACCTACAGGAATTTTATTAGGACAAGTTGCTATAAAGTCCCTAAGGTTTAAGTAAAAATACTACTTTATCCCTAATATGTAGAGAAATTATTATAAAATCTCCAATATCTTGCCTCTTTAAACTATTTAGAGCCCTTTTGTTTAACTATTCTTGTCAATAAATAACTAACAGCAATTACTTAGTTTAACCGTTCATATCAACGAATAAAGTTATCACTGATAGCTTGTAGTTAGCAGCTAACAGTTGATGAATGTTGGTGTTTAATTACTGTTAAAATATAAAATTATCATTAAGGATATAATTTTTTTATATATTATGATGTATAATGTTATTTTTTATTTTTAAAGCAAATTTTTTTTATAAACTACCTGTATTTGTATCTATTATTAGGTACCGCCGAATTCGGCTCGTACATATTATTTTTTATTTTAACATACTATTTAAATAAAAAATATTAGTTAAAATTTTCAAATAATATTTATTGTACCGTATTCAACCTTGTTAAACTTTCTAGTTCATTGAATCCTACTTTCATCGGTTCAATGTCCGATCAAATTCTCAGAACATTGGTTATTTTTCTGAAGTTAATTAAGTTCAAATAAATAAAATAATAATTAATTAACAGTTGATCAAATTCTCAGAACATTGGTTATTTTTCAAATTCTCAGAACATTGGTTATTTTTCTGAAGTTAATTAAGTTCAAATAAAATAATAATTAACTAACAGTTGATACAAAAAAGCTCCAGATATAGGTGATGGAATTAATAGTTGTTCGGGGACTTCTATCTGCTTCCAGTTACTGATTAAAAAGTTTATCAAATATCTAGAAGCTAGTTCCTGGATATGAATAAATTCAACTAAACGCGCTCTTATTTTATTCAAAAAAGTGTCATTTATGTTGTTAAATACCATGTAATATTTAAGTATTTGATCGTTGGTATGTAATATATCCTAACAATTTACATGTTATTAACTTTAATATTTTGTACCTTACTTAACAATTGAATTACTATTAGCTCTTTATTTAATGGCAAAACTGTAACTTTTACATAAAAGAATTAAATATTCAACGGGATCCTATATATAATATATATAGTAATATATATATATATATATATATATATATATATTTATATATATGCATATGCATTTTCTATTTGTGTCGGCCAACTATTTCAAAAAAATATTTAATTTGTCGGTTTTTTAAGTTTGAATCGAATTTTTATTTGATCGATCAGATTTAAAGAAATATTATTATTGGACTTAAAATCGAACTGATAATGACCAAAAATAATTAATTCAATTCGAGTTAATTTGGTTCATATATCAATTTTGGTTTGCATTCAATTTTTTCATCAAAAAAAAATTTCGATTGTATTTTTTGAATTATCGAACCAACCACCATTTGGTCATACATATGCATATGCATTTCTATTTGTGTCGGCCAACTATTTCAAAAATATTTAATTTGTCGGTTTTTTAGTTTGAATCGAATTTATTATTTGATTCGATCAGATTTAAAGAAATATATTAATTGGACTTAAAATCGAACTGATATGACAAAAATAATTAATTCAATTCGAGTTAATTTGGTTCATATATCAATTTTGGTTTGATTCAATTTTTCATCAAAAAATTTCGATTGTATTTTTTGATTATCGAACCCAACCCACCATTTGTTCATCCGTACATGCACACCCCCTATAAATTATACAAGAGGTTTTTGGGCAAAATGTAAATTATAGTTAAACACGCGCTGTGAGAGCGAGTATATAGTGATATAATTCCGAAGATATCGGGGTAGTGGGTGGTGGGGTACCAGCCCTTTTCACTTTGACGTAATAACTGCAAGTTGTATGTTGAATTATCAGTTTCGGCTTCCCTAATTTGGGCAGAGCAATCTGTTGGGCCGACTATTTGCTTTAGCTCTCTCGCTATGGGCCGGATTTTAGTACAGTCCCAATTGTGTCTTTTTTTTTTTCTCATTTTTAAGAAGTTATTACAACTTAAAGTTTAGAAATTAGGGCCAGTTTATTATTTTGTTATTTTTATTTTTATTTTTATTTGTTTATGTATTGAATTTAGAATTTTGTTATTTGAATTAATTATTTATTACTTAATATCTTAAAATAGGAAATTCATTGTTAAAATAATAAATATTAATATTTTCTCAGCTCAATTTTCAGGGAAGAAAATTTTAATTTAAAAAACTTTACAAATGTTTTCAATATTTTCAATTATTGAATCTTGTTAATTTATTTTTTATATTATGTTGCCAGTTAATTTAATAACATTTCTTTAAAAATTGATATTTATCAAATATTTATAGCTCATCTGGAACAAATGAATCATGGTTATATAATTCATTTTTAAATAAATTTCAAGTAGAATTCATTTGCAAATGAATTTGTCATGTTTAGTATGCTACAATTTAAAACAAGGACTTCAATTGAATTTCACAAAAATATATTTGGAATAAATTCTTAAATGAAAATTCATTTATCTTTATTTCTTATAACACCCTTAACATGATAATTTAACAAAAATAAATAACAAATGCTAATTATATTTATTATGTACAATACAATAACTTGTCATTTTTTATTAGAATATAAATAATTAATTTCATATAAATAAGTACACTAATATTCCACGCTAATTAATTAATTATATAAGCAGTGACATTCATCATAATAATTATTTGTAATTAATATAAAAAAATTTATTGATTTAAGTAATTAATTTGAAAACCAAAAAAAAAAAATATTAAGAACGTTATTATTGTTTTTAATTGCATTTGAAAACAAAGAATTAAACATGAATCACCTAATTATAAACAAAATAATGCTTGATTTGATTAAATAATCGTTTAGACAGTATTTATTGGGTTTAGCAGAGATAACATAAAAGTGGAGTCAATAATTAGGAGTTAGATTCTCGTTTTTATGACGAGCTCCTAGTTTTCTCTTGTTCATATGACAAGTTTCAAACTTATTTCGTTTTTTTTTTTTTTTCTTTCTTGCTTCCTGTGAGATTTCAATATGAGTTCTCCAAGTCAAGGTCCCAGTTTGAAGGACTTTTATTCCAATCTTTCGTTACAAGAAAATCAAAATAGGGTTGTAGTGACTAAAGGTGCGAAGAAGGAATAAGAAGAGGTTGCTACAGATGAGCGGCAATGGTGTATTGTTGGTCGTGTGTTAATGGAGAGGTCGATTAATTTTCAGGCGTTCAAGAATACTATGGCGATGGTATGGAGGCCGGTGAAAGGATTAGCTTATATGGAGTTGGGAAACAATGCTTTCATGATCCAGTTTTTCCATAAGATAAATCATGATAAGGTACTAAAAGGTGGTCCTTGGAGCTTCTCTCAAAATCTCCTTATTCTCCACCCACTTAAGGATGGTGAGAATCCTAGACAGGTTGAATTGACGATGGTGGACTTTTGGATCCAGGTGCACGATTTACCATTTGGTTTCCTATCTGAACGTGTTGCTAAGAACATTGGTAATTCAATTGGCCAATATGTTGAAGCTGATCCAAGGAACTTTAATGGCATATGATGTGATTATATAAGAATCAAGGTCTGCCTTGACATTAGAAAGCAACTTTAGTGGAGGTCACAAGTTAAGAAATCAGGTGATGACTAGGCTTGGGTTACATTCAAATATGAGTGCTTGCCAACTTTTTGTTTCTTCTGTGGAATGTTGGGTCAATCAGATCGTTTATGTGTGAAGCTATTTGATTATCCTTCAATAACCAAGGAGCAGTTTGCTTTCGGTCCATGGTTGAGAGTGGATGGGACGAAGGTGGCGCAGTTGGGTGAGAGATGGATTCTAAAACAGACAATGGGTACTGCTGACGTGACAGGTTAGAATAAAGAAAGTCATATGGAGGTTGATCTCCAACAACATAAGGAAACTAATTGTAGTCAACCATTGGTAAATCAGGAAGCTAGTTTCTTACATGGGGATACTATGACGGATTTGAGAAAAAATCTCATGGTTGTGTATGGGAAGGGAATCTGAGGTGGATTTTGCTTCTTTTAATGAGATTCATGATAATGTGGTCATTTATGATGCTAAACAACGTCGGCAAGATCTCAACCCTAGTCCAGTAAATTTTTTAACTGATGAATCTGGTTCAAAAAATGCGTTTCAGGTGGGTTCTGGTTCCCAGGCTTGCCCAGCCTAATGAGTTTTCTAAGTTGGAATTGTCGTCGACTTGGGAACCCACGTACAATTCAAGAATTGAAGGACTTTGTGTCCATTAAGAAACCTAAATTTGTGTTCCTCATAGAGACAATGTTTGGATGGGATAGAGTGAATCAAGTTAAGAGGGTGTTGGGCTTTGAAGGTGTGTTTGTGATAAGTCCAACAGGTCATGGCGGAGGGCTTGCGCTACTATGGAAGGATAGGTCAAACTGCTCATTTCTTGGCTATAGTTCTAACGATATTAATGTTAAAATATCTGTCGAAGGTGTTCCTCCTTATCATTTCAGTGGGTTCTATGGTTATCCTGAGTGTTCTTTAAGGCCAGCGTCTTGGAACTTAATGATTTCGTTAAAGGACAAGTCTCCCCTCCCTTGGATAATGGTTGAAGACTTTAACGACATGCTTTTGCATCGGGAGAAGTAAGGTCGTATCCCTCAGCCTTATTGGCTCATTAATGGCTTTCGGTCTACTGTGGAAAGATATGGGCTCATTGATGTTAGGTAGCAATGTAATTGTTTTACATAGGAGAGAGGAAGGGGTTCTAACGAGTGGGTTTGTGAAAGAATAGACCGAGCGCTGGCTTCAACAGGCTGGCAGTAAACTTTTCTTTATGCTACTTTCTATAATATTGATACTATTAATAGTGATCACTCGGCCATTTTCTTAAATATTAGCATCACTGTTATTTGGTATTCTGCCCTACTGTTCCCTTTGAAAACTCCTGGCTTCATAAGTTGAATTTTAAGCAGACTATCCGTAAGGCATGGAGGTCAGGAGC